ACAAAATACCTGAGATCAGGTGATTAAAAGAATAGAGGTTAATTTAGCTCACAGTTCTGGGCACTAACATCTTTTAAGGGCCTACTTTTTAAAATTTTACATCATAACATGGTGGAGGGTATCACATGGCGAGATAAAACAAGTGTCTACTGTGGGGGTCTCTTCCTCTTTTTATGAATTCATAGCAGCCATTGTGGAAGCCCAAATTTAGGCCTCCCCAAAGGCCACACCTCCTACTACCATCAACATATAAATTTGGAGAAATGGACCAAAAATTCATCTAAAACACAAACTTTCAAAGGTTACACTCAACCATAACAGCCCAATTCAAAATAATGTATGCACCATGACCCCCATTTTGTAAAATGCCCATAAGTCCCAGATACACAGAAAAAACACTGGATGTTTAATACAACACAATCCCACAAGGTTATTTCTACATGGAAGAATGATGGGTAAATTTATTTTTTTTCTGAGTTACTTCTTACATTTTGTAATCAGAAACAGAATAGATAAAAAAAGCCAAGGGGAAAAAAACCCCAAGAAATGGCGTAATACCGTGCAAGACCTTGGCCAGTGGTCTCCTTGGGACTTGCAGAATTTCAGTGACGCCACATCTTGGGCTGCAGAAGGCATTGCTAGGCTTGTGCTAGCGTCACTCACCTACTATCTTCACATTGCTAGGGCTGGGCCCGGTGCCTGGTGGCATGCAGTACGTGCTCAGATGGTGCGTGTTGAGTGATCCGCTTTCCTGACTAGGCCAGCCACTGTGACTCCTGGCCAAGAGGAGCCTACAGAGAAACACTGCCACTTCAGTGGAAGACCATGCTGACACCACTTTCCTTTCTGAGTTAAAAACCTACCACCACCACCACCACCCCTCATATTTCCAGGACAGTCAATTTTAATGAGTCTGCCTCAACATGAGAGTACTTTATAAAGAAAAGAGCTTTTAAGCTCAGTTTTGGAGACTGAAAGTCCAACATCAGGTGGTCCCATCTGTTCAACCTCTGGTGAGGGCCTCATGGAAGATGGGATCACAATGGCAGAAGAGTGTGGAAGAGATCATGTAGTGAGACGGGAGGCCAGAGGCATTCAGGGCCAGGCTTGCTCTTTTTACAACAACTCACTCTCACAGGAACTAAACAGGGTTCTTTCTCAGGGCAGCACCCCCAGTTACCTGCTTATCTCCCAATAGGTAGGTATAGTATAGGTTCACCACTTTAAAAGTTAAATGTTCATGTTATCAACTTTGAGGTTCACTGGGTAATATTTTATAATATCGGGAGGCACTTCTGGTTTCACTCTGGGGGATTGTTACAGGTATCCAGTGGATGCTGCTGAATACCCTGCAGAGCACAGGACAGCACCCCCAGACAAACAGTTGTTCAGAGCAGGACATGGTGATGCTTGCATATAGTCCCAACTACTTGGGAGACGGAGGCAGGGAAGATCTTGAATCCAAGGCCAGTCTGGGTAACATAGTGAGAACCTGTTTCTTATTAAAAAAAAAAAAAAAACAACAAAACAAAACAAAAAAAAAAAAACCTGTCTAACTCACAATGTTGAGAAACCCTATACTCTAGAGACAAGACTTTATCTCTTACTGCTTACTGTGTTGTGGTTTCACATCTAGAAGCAAAAGCTAGATTTGTTATCATTTTTCCCATAGAGGTTTCCACACTGCCTCTGTAAACCCCTTAACCTGCCAGGTCAGGCTCAGCTTTGTGATGTGACGTGGTTCCAGTTTTCACATCTGCAATCCTTCTTCATCCCCAGAGCTAAACACTGTCACGAGGGTAGACCGACCTCACAAGTTCCTCTGAGACTAGACAGCGGAGGGCTGAGCCTTCATTGTGAAAGTCGTATTTATCACTCATGGTCATTAATTCCTATTACTGTGCTCCTTTGCCTCCTCCACTCTTAGATAAAACCATAGAAACAGAGACGAGGACCCGCCAAGTGTAAATATGGACAGTCTGGTTTGTGAGCGAAAGGGAAGGCCAGCGTTTCAGTTCCTTTTCATATTCAAAACTAAACAGGATCTATCCCGGCAGAATGCCAAGGATACTCATCTCTCTGTAAAGATTTTAAGTCCCCCCCTCCTGCTTCTGCTTCCCCATCTCCTCAAGACTCCTGGACCCCATTGCCCTGAGTTTTCATAGAGGAGTAGCCTTCTCAGCCAGGCCAGAGTGGCATGAAGTAGGTTCCTTCTTGAACTCTGGGAAAGGATCCTTGTGTCCCTTCCTCAAGGAGCCCAAGAGGTCCCTGGTAGACAAGGCTCTGAGCCCCAGACCAAGGAAATAGCATGTGCTCCCCAAGATGGTAAGGCTTGGGCAAGGCTGCTCGGTGTGCCTCGAGCTGGAGACTTGTCTCCTGTCCACATCATTCCTAACAGCCAAAGAGCAGTAGTCCAGGTAGAAGCGGGAACATGAAAAGGCTAATGCCATGCTGGACAAGTAAGTGGTCAGCTGCCTGTTTGTGATTTATTCACACATGGCAGGGTTCACGCAGTGTCTGCCTTAAACAAGATCTGGAGGAGGAGTCATAGCTAGAACATGCAAAACTTTGTGTAAGTGTTTTTTAAAAGTGCCTACTCCAAGCAGACCAGTTAGGAGGAGGCGCCCCTTCCTTGGGGTTGATGCAGCTGAGGCATTGGGTTTGGCACTGCCTGGCCAAGGGCCCCTGTGCATCTCCCACTGAGGCAACCTCACTGGCCTGGGAATTCTCTCAAGCTCGTTGTTTCTAGAATATTGCCCTAAAGAGATGAAGAAAGGAGAGCAAGGGCCAGCTCTTTAGCAACTATGTGGACCAATATTTCCTCACACCAAACAGCCAGACCTGACCACTGTGGATGGAGACCTAGTGTGACTGTCACCCAGGCAAAAAAAAAGTAGGGAAGCCAGTCCTAAAGGGGCCCCTGCTGCCCTGAGAAGGTCTTCAGAGTCAATAAATCAAGCAAGGATCAGTCCCTACTTCTAAAAGTGACTCTAGGACAGAAGGAACAGTGAGGAGCAGGCGACTTGACAGGATGGGTGGGGAAGATAAATCAGTAACAATAGTGACATTAGTAATAATACTAATAGCAGTCAATCATTTAGGTGGTAAATATTCCAGACACTATTTTAAGGACTCACTTGTATTAACTCATTCAATGTTTACTAAATCCCAAAAGGTACGATGGTGGTTACAAAACATGGCTGCAAAAATATTTTTGATACTCCCCTCTTCAAAAGATGGCACCTAATTTAAGAAAGAAAATGGCTAAAACTTTCATTGCATGAAATATGTATAATATAATTGATTCTTGATTATCACACTAATTAACAGAATGGACTTTCAAATGAACTACATGAAATTAAAAAAATCTATCCTGGAGTTGGCGGGGAGTAGAGTCTAATTTTCCTCCTTTGGCCTGTGGAGAGACTTACTGGGGTTCTGCTAGTGAATAGAATGTTAGGAGCAGAAGTGATGTCATGTGGCTTCAAAGACTAGGTCATAAAAAGGATGCAGCTTCTGTCTGGCTCTTTCTTTGTTATTATTTGTTTGGAGGGGAGGCAACCACCATGTCATGAGGATACTGACTAGTGTAATGATAGAGAAGGCCTTCTATCAGACACCTCACCCTAGCTATCTATTCTAGGGAAACTTCTTTCTGTTTCTATGTCAATCAACCTGTGATAATATAATCAATCAATAGCTGTCTATTGCTCTCTATCTCTGTCTCTCTTGCTGCCCAGCTCATCTTTCCCTCACACAAAAACTAATATCCCTTGACCTCAATCAGACATTTGTCAAAGCCCTGAGTTTCCTTTATTTCAATCTGCTTTTCAACGTGGACCTAGTCAAGGTTCAAGCTGAGCACATCCCACTGACACACAATCTGCTCCTAAGGTTAGAAGTCACATTATCAACTCAGACCTACATGACAGTGATACGCAGACACACAAATAACACCTCTCCCCCAGTCAGCACTTTAGACTAACACATCCAGCCCCACACAGAGACAACTGCAAGACATGGCTACTGGGAGAGGGCAAGGCATATGGCAAAGGGGAGAGGGGGTGAGGTCATAGGTGCTGAGAGTGTTCTAGGAGGGGAAGTATTCACTGGGTCTTGGGCCACAGCACACTTTACATTCTCTAACCAGCTCATCTACTAGAACAGAAAATTAGACAGCAGTGATATGGTGGGGGTAGGTACAGGAGCAGGTGACCTGGCAGGTGACCAGGGGCCACCTTAGACAAGTCACTCTTGCTGGGCCTCAGTTCCCTCATCTGTAACAAAACTGGATTGCCCACTGCTCCACATACTAGGTGTCTGAGGCACTTTCACAGCTTACTTATGCAACTGACAGTCTTGGAATATATCTTCCACATCAAGTTTATTCAAAGATTTGAAGGGCCACCCTTTCTACAAGAAAATGTTTTATATCATTATTCAGAATGCAAATTTTACATGCATTTTATTTATAGTAACTAATACTACTAACATTTAATCAGTGAATACTGTGCATGAGTTTTGTGCTAAACTCTTTATGACAGCCTTACGATAACTTAATGGTAGTATTATCATTCCTATTTTACACATGCAAAACGGGAGTACAGAGAGATTAATCCATCTGAAGTCACACATTATTAAGTGATGATAAAACAACTCCCCTACCAATAAATTTGGGGTCATTACAAGTGGTTTTTGGATATACCTCCAACAGCGGGGCTTCTTAAGTGAAGTCTGAAAGACACAGTCCAAAACAATATCCAAAGTTCAGCTCTGACATTCTTAAATCAATTTTAGCTAAATGGGAAGATAGTTGGCTTCACACCCGGTATCGCTATAGGATAAAGGAAGCTGTGGTTTTTCCGCGGGGGCTGGGGGATTTCTGGCCTTTTGGGAGCTTTCAAACAGCCTCAGAGCTGGAGGCCTCCGCCTCTGCAGCCGCCTCCCAGCCCAGCTGGTGTTGCCCGGCACTTCCTCGTTCCCGTGCGTCCAGGACGGGACGCAGTTCCCTACGCCCAACGCTCGCTCTCCTCTGGCAGGAGGGGTCCAGAGGACGGTGTCGCAATCACCTTCCTCCCTCTTTCCCCGCCTTAACACTCAGTCACCTCCCAGATGAGCGCGCTCGCAGACCGCTGCTGGCGGTCGGGTGCCCGGCATGTCCCCTGAGTTCGCGCAGACGACAGTCACCGGTCCTCTGCGCAGCCTGGAGCAAGCCAACCGCACCCGCTTCCCTTTCTTCTCAGATGTCAAGAGAGACCACCGGCTGGTGCTGAGCACCGTGGAGACAATCGTGCTGGCGCTCATCTTTGCGGTGTCTCTACTGGGCAACGTGTACGCTCTGGTGCTGGTTGCGCGCCGACGGCGCCGAGGGGCCACCACCAGCCTGGTGCTGAACCTCTTCTGCGCGGACCTGCTCTTCACCAGCTCCATCCCCCTAGTGCTAGTCGTGCGCTGGACAGAGGCTTGGATGCTGGGCCCCGTCGCTTGCCATCTGCTCTTCTACATGATGACCCTGAGCGGCAGCGTCACCATACTCACGCTGGCCGCAGTCAGCCTGGAGCGCATGGTGTGTATCGTGCGCCTGCAGCGCGGAATGCGCGGCCCGGGGCGGCGGGCACAAGCTGCGATGCTGGCGTTCATCTGGGGCTACTCCGCTCTTGCCGCGCTGCCGCTCTTCATCTTCTTCCAGGTGGTCCCGCAGCGGCTCCCGGGTGCCGACCAGGTGAGCGCCTGTGAGCGCAAGGAGACCCCCGTGCGGGCGGGCTGGGGGAGGGGCGGGTATCCGACGGAGGGGGTGAACGGAGGCGGTGAACGAGGGTGATGATGATTAACAACAGGACTTTTTGTTGCACTATTGTCATACACGATGCCCAGCGCTGTGTCAACCTGCGATGCATGTATTTAAAGGCGCTACCAAACTCTTTTTAAAAAATATTTATTTTTTAGTTTTAGGTGGACACAATATCTTGATTTTATTTTTATGTAGTGCAGAGAATCGAACCCAGTGCCTCATGCATGCTAGGCAAGCACGCTACCACTTGAGCCACATCCCCAGCCCCTACCCCCCAATTCTTGCAAAAAATGCAACGGCGTGTTGTGAGGTTAATTAAATAATGGGGAGTTAAGGAGTCCGATAGAATTTCATGCATGTGAGATGGCTAATCACATTATATTGAATTTTGCTTTCTGGTCCGGTGTTACCCTAAAGTTATCACACTTGCAGGACAGATGTGGAAGCTGAGACACATAGGATTAATAACTTGTTCAGAGTATCTCATCCTTAGTTTGAGAAGGAGCAGAAGTTTCTGTGAAAGTAAGGGTTAGGAGCCTGTATTGAAAGCCTGAAGGCAGATGGTGCAGATGGCTGGGGAGAAGGGGCATTGGAAAACCAGAGCCCCTGACCCAAGGCTTCCCCTGAAGGGCTTCTGGTTTCCTCTTCGGAATCCTCAGTTTTTCCAGCAGCAAGATGGAAGGATTACAGCAGACCACAGAATCTTACCCTGGGAGCCTTGGACTGTAGCTTCAGGGTATTTAAGAAGTTGGGGGTTTGTTTGGGATAGCAGGCCCATAGTTGTCATTTATGGAGAGGTTCATGATCTAGAAATGATTCTCTGGACAGTGTAATACTTGCTTCGGTGACTTGAGTCCCATGGTCTAGAATTCTGGGCACAGGTTTGTTCTCTTTGCTGCCCCACCCCAGGGTGGGGCCATGGGCCTCAGGTCTAGTAGGAGAAGGTGGCAGCCTGACTGGCTGTATTCCAGATGTGTTTCATTCTCCTCAGCACCTGGCGGAGAGAGACAGGCATCTGTCTGACTTATATGTGTCAGCAATACCTCAAGGCATGAGTAGTTGCTGTGGCTCAGCCTCCAGGAAGATCTGACCCAGGCTGAGTTCTTGACCCTGTCCCTTTCCCTTTCCAGGCCACTGGTTTTCTGGCCCTGGGGAACAAACTCTCACCCCAGACCCTAGGAAGGAGAGTGGGGCACTTTGAGCAGTCCAGGCACAAACAAACTGTAGTCCTGAAGAGAGAGGAGAAGAGCAAGGGGGATGTCCCAGGGGGACAGTTTCAGACTCTGGAGATGAGATGAACTCTGGTCCACTAGGACGATCAGAGTGTGTGACCTGCCCAGAGGCTGAACACAAAGGTGGCCTCCTGAGGATTTCCCAGACCAACCACATAGCCTTTTTTTGGTGGGGGTAGAATGGATGGAGGCTGCATTCTAGGCAAGCAGATGTGTGTGTCCTAAAAATCTGCTCTGAATAGTTTCTTTGTGAGTGTGTGGAATACATTTTGGGGTGTTTGATTATGGCTCATTAGCAGGAAGGAATCAGGCTTATGGCATGTGATCAATATGGCCGTGTCCACTCAGGTGCCCCAGGAGAGCCAGGATTAGCTGAGCTAGTGGGTGCTATTGGTCTCAGGAGATCAAGTGCCCTTGCTCAGGAGGCAGGTTCAAAGAATTTAAAAAAAAATGAGGTTCAAGGAATTAAAGACTAAATAGAAGATATTTTAAGTGTATCTTAAATTTCTGGATATATATTTTGTACCCTTCCTTTGACAGTTGTTTCAGGTATAGTCCTGCTTTACTGCCAAATAGCACTATGAAAGGAGGCTCTTGTCCCCTCCCAGAGAAAACTCCAGGCTAAAACTGGGTGCTAACATGGCCATCCGTGACTGAGCAAGGCCTTTGCATGGATGGAGGCATTCTTGTATCTGGTCCATCCTGTATTCTACCCCTGGTAGGGCATGTGTGTTCAGGAGCCCTCCAGAGCATTTCTAGAATGGTCTGCATCTTACCACAGAGTGCTTCTGTAGAGATCTGTGCTCCCTGGTTGGGCACACCAAGCCTTTTCTTGTTTTATTGAAGAAACACCTTCTTGGCTTTAAGGGCCTTTGGAGAGGGATTTGGGCAAAGCCACTGGAAGAGAAATGAGCTAGAAGTGCGCTTCAGAAGGGGCCAGGTGAGTTAACTACATGCCAGATCTCTATTCAAATTGGTAGACGTGCCATGGAGGGCTTGTAATGAAAAAAAAAAAATGAGACAGTTCCTTCTGTTTTCCATTTTCCTTGTCTTCCCCCTACCTATCTGTTATGCTGCCCCCTCCCAACCCCCAATCTCATTGAGTTTTTTCTCTCTGGGTTACACTATTCAGCAGTCCCTTTTTATCCAGGGTTCCACAGTTTTAGTTACTTGTGGTTTCAATAACCTGTGGACAACCAAGGTCCAAAAACGTTAAATGGAAAAGTCCAGAAATAAACAAAAAAATTAAAAATTTTAATTATCTTTTATTAGGTCATATTGTTATAATTGATATGTTTTGTTTTTAGTTTGTGATTAATTTCTTAATGTGCCTCATTATCATAGGGACTTGATGTGTAGAAAAAAAAAACATACTAGATAGAAGATTCAGTACTATCTGTAATTTGGAGCACCTCACTGGGGTCTTGGAATGTGCCTCGAGAGTAAGGAGGAGCTTCTGTTTCTGTATTTTCTGTGTTCTTTCCAAGGAATAAAATAGATAAACTCTCCAATTCCTTGAGGGTTTTTGCCTGGGTATATAGGAAACACTCCACTTTATAGGTTCAGCAATTGAAAGAAATAAGTTGAAAAGAATGGGGGGGTTGAGGGGGTGCAGTCACTTAAAAATGGGGGTGGGGACAGAGATAAATCTCTTTTATTAAAAGTTAGCAAAAGCCTCTTTTCTCAGTTGTCATATTAACAGATCCTGTCCAGTAGGTCACTAAATGAAGATTGGGATGAGGGGGATATTTTTCCTCCCCAAACAATATGCTGAGAGACTCAAGTAACCCTAAGTACTTCCTGGCTCCCTCCTCTCAAAGAGTGTGTGGAAACAGTGCTCCTCAGAGCTTTCTGTTTACCTCAAATCCCCTAAAACAGGAACATGATGACCTTTGTCCCTTTGGGTAGTGGGTGTCCAGTAGTCCAAAGTGACCAGACTCTAAAACTTCATTGAAATTTGAATTCTATCTTGGGAATGCTTAGGAGTTGCGTGACAGAAAGGGAGCTGCCCCACCTCTCTAGGTCTCACTTTCCTTGATTTAAATAGACACGAAGACACTGTCAACCATATTGGATTGCCATGGGGATTTATGTTCAATAAATGGGCCAACACCTGGCACCCATACAGCTAAGTGCTCAAGAATTGCTAGCTATTATAAGTTTCCTTATCTTTGGGTATAAACATTTTAAACATTCTTCAAACACTATAATTCTTCTGATTGCTGTAAAATAATAAGCAGCCATTTTAAGAGGGTGGACAGATCTTAGCAACATTAACATCTCAGTCAGGCCAGCTCAGCCTGTTCCAATGGGATGCCGGCCAGTGTGTGCCGTGGCCCTGGCCAGGCAGTGACCTCCACCAGTAAGTGTGGAAGATGTCCACCTTGGCCAGAATGTACTGTCCATTCACTCCACAAACATTTACCGAGCACCCTCCTCTTTGACCCCTGTCACTAATGTCACAAATGCCCCTCATTTATTGAGCATTTAGTGAGCACTCAGATGGCCGCAGACTCTAGCTTGATTCTTTAGCCCATGGTAACCCCACAGCTGTTGTGCTTTTTTTATGTTTATTTTCAGAAAGAATAACTTCCCAAAGTCAAAGAAGGCGAAGGATGGTTCTAGAATGTAGCCCGGCTCTGTCTGGTTGCTCTGGTGTCATCTCCAATGAGTTCACACTTCCTTAGGGCCCTTGATGCTTCTGTGGCTCCCTTCTTGATTTAATACCAGGCCACTGTTGTCATCAGTCTCTGTGGAGTGAGGCTTCCCTGGAGAGACAAGTGCAGTTCACTCGCCTGCGTTACTAAATGCTAGAGAATATTTTCAAAATATAAAGAAAATAAGTCCAGCTCTCAGGTTGGTATTTTCTTTCTTTTCTGTTGGGAAGTTGCTAAAAGAGCAGATGTCTAATGAGGATTCCTTAAAATGACCTTGAAATCTTCCATTGTATTGGAAGAGGTAGGGCAGGGAGATGATTTACCAAGGGGTTCCCTGGTTCTGTAGGAAGACTCAGCAGAGAAGCTTCATGGGAAACAGTCGGAACCAGGTATCATTTGCCAATAAGTCAGACGGTGGTAGGAGGAATCGGCACTTGAGCAGTGCCTGTAGATGGGTGTCCCCATCCTTGAGGAAGTCTTAGAAAATCCCGACATCGGGTGACTTTGTACTGAGCACCCAGTGTCAGGCACCAGGCATCTTCTAGGTACTGGGATGCTGCCTTGAATAAGACAGCGTAGTTCCTGTCCCCCGTAGTACACTCCAGTGGGGGATCTTGAAAGGAAGCCAGGTGATTATTACAGTTTCGAAAGCTCTGGAAGGGACTCCTCCAGGCACCCAGAATCTGTGAAGGCTACTGAAAGACAATGTGTCTCCACCAGGTGTGGAGAGGAGAGGAAGTGAGCAAGACAAGGACCTGGGGGGACATGAGGGGCATTACAGGCAGAGGAAATGACCCCAAAAGGGAGCGAGAGAGCACAAAGAAGGCTAAGGTGACAAGAGGTGGTGCCGGAGGGTTAGCTGGACTAGCAGAAGAACCGGGGACACCCCTGAGGGAGTTTGGGCTTACTTGCTGAGAGATGGCTGGTCCCTGAGGGTGGCCAGTGAGAATGAGGTGTGTGGGGGAGGGGCGGGGTTTGTTTTAGTGGGAAAGGAGCAGGCCAGTCCTCTTGTTTCTGGCAGCCTGGAGGATGGTCAATTTGAGATGTCCAGGAGGTGGGACCATTTTGGGGTGAGATATTCAAAGTTTAACAAGCCTGAGAAGTCTCCTGCAGAGATGTGCTCAAGGTAGCCATGAGTCTAGAGTTGAGGACTTCTGATCCACTAGACCAGAAGCCACACTGCCCGGCTGAAACAGTGCTCATGGACATAGAAATTTCTCTCTTGAGAAACCTGCCCCCTGGCCTCTGGGGTTCTCTGGATCTCTGGCTCCCCATCTTGCGGTGGAGTTTCTTGTTTCTTGTTGTTGTTGGAATTTCTTGTTTTTCCTCCCTGCCTGCATCTGTGGCTTCCTGGAGGGCAGGGACAGAGCCTCTATCATCCTCACTGTGGCCTTTCAGTGGCTTGGGCACGATGCCTACAGTCAGTAAGTGGTTGAGCAAATCAATTAACACCACTGTTGACGCCACACCGCCGCCAATTCCGCTTCCATGTATCAGTGATCAGGCAGGCCTAGCACTTATGGTTTTCATATTTCTTTCTTAAAATCAGGAAACGTTTCAAATATGCAGGAAAAAAAACCACCCAGAATATACTAACACTTATGTCCGTACCTTCCAGATTTGACCTACTGCCCAACTCCTCTATCAATCACAGGCTGCAGGAGAAAACCATTTGTTGTCTGGATTTTTCCACAGACATAAAGTTATTCAATTCAGACCTCTGAGTGTGGGCATGGTGCTTTGTTTATTTCCTAATGAATATAGACACTACAATTAACCGACAATATCATACGATGCCCCTCAAAGAGCACATAAATCCATGCCCAAGACCCATCCTACTGCCTCTTAGCTCAGATGGGGGTGAGGGGGTGCTGTGCAGGGTTCTTATCTTACTCCCTTATCACACTTCCTGCCTGGAGTGAAAGCCATAGATCAAACAGGTGAAAGGGCACCTTCCTTATTGAAATTTGGGGAGCTTTCTGGGATGAGCGTATTGTCTCTGTTGGTTAGGTTGGCTCAGCCCTCATGGTGACGTGTGTGTTTCATGTTCTATCATCTTTTTTCATAAAAACTAACTTTTATCCTTTTGTTTCTCTCTTATAAAAAAACATATAGACACATTGTGGATGATTTAGATAACACAGAAGAATAAAAATAACTTACAAGTCCCATTCTAGTCTTTTCTGAGACCCTCTCAGTCTCTTCTCTGCCTGTGTGTGCATGAGCAGAGGTGTCTAGGTATAAATATTCACACATACACGTCAACACTGGGATCCCGCAGGTGTGACCTAAATAACAGCTGGAGAGAGGTTCTCCAAAGATAGTGACTTTGGGCATGAAAATTGCAATGTATTGAATAGGGGACCATGACAAACTAAGTGCATGTTGATGAGGTTGAAGCCAGGGGAAGTTTTTAAAGGCAAAAATGAGGATTACATAAGTTATTTTGAAACAGCAATCCTTGGCTACAAGGATCCATAAATAAGGGTGGCCTCCGTTCATGGTTGGACAGACAGTTGCTGAACCAATACTCTCCAAGGGATTTTTGTGTAAGGTTGTGGTTTGGTAGAATCTTTATGATAATTCTTGTTATCAGGCATCCGTGCATGAGATGCCCTTCTTCACAAACTCCCAGCTTTATTAATTCATTAATTTTTGTTAGGGTCGGCTTGAGCAACTCCATTTTGATTCTGACAACTTTCACACAGGCACATAGTTACGGGACCTACTTTTCTGCCCCCAACCACAAGGAGTTTGAAAGAATCATCCAAAGAGCAGTGGTCAACCTCACTGCCAGTATTCAGCAGGGTCACCCAAGTTTCTTTCCAACCACCAAAACACAGAAAGATTTAGTAAACTGTCTTCCATCAGGTGTGGATGGTGAGGGTAGAGGAGCAAATTTTTAGAATGCCTAGTCCATTTGCAAGCCATTTAACAAAGCAGGAAAAGGAAGCAACACTCCAGCAAATGTGATTAAAACATTCTTCCCTGCTTGTCCTGCTTTATAATTTTCTCGGTAGATCCCTTGATGTCCCTTGTTACTAACTAGCTTTTGGGGCAAAGTATTATGATTAAAAACATCCCCACCTTTAGCGTTTCAGGCTGTTGTTGGAAGAGGATGTTTCTGAACCTTAGTTCTTTACTCTGTGAAACAGGAACAAAAAAATAATGTGCATCTCAATAAGGTTGTTGTAAGCCTTAGATGAGATGATCTAGTAAAGCAATTTCCAGTGCAGAGGGTATGCTCAATAAATAGCAGATGTTGTTATTTTCTGTTAAAATTGAGTAGGAAATTGAGTGACCAGTTGACTGTATTTTGAGATGGACAACTCAATCACAATACCTGTTGGCAAATATTAAAAATTCTTTGCTTTTGCCTAGGGTATACCATTCGATAAATATTGGTCAAGTGAATAGTTGAATTAATGATGCTTCAGTTGATTATGACTCCTGGACATGGGTTCAGATGCCTTGTCCACCAAAAAATTAATATGTGGTCTTTTTACATAGCACACACTCTTTTAAAAATCTGGTCTATATGTCTAGAAGGGTTTAGGGAGACTTGTTTTCCAAATAGCTTTGTTCCTATAGTGGAGTGGGCCGGGGAAGTTTGTGGGTGGGAAAGTACAGGCACAACTGCCTTGGTCTGTTTTCACTGACATTTTTCTTTGTTGGAGGAAACTGTGGCAGCAGCTCTTAGTAATTGTTGGGTGAGGCTCCCGCCTATTGCAGTTTTGTAGCTAGAGTTGAACACTTGAATTCAACACATCACAGTATGGAAGCAAGGTCACAAACGGTCACACTCCAGTGGCTTTCCATCTGGAACTGAGAATTGTGGCTGATATTTGCTTTGGGGCTGTAGTGTGTTCCTCTATGAAGGTGGCACATAAGGTTAGAGGCTGTAATTCTGGGCTCAAGATGCATTCTTGGAGTAAGAGGTAGCTGGCCCTCCTTTCCAGACTCCTTCCTTTGCAGAATCAGGTTTCAAATCCAGGGCCTGGCACATGCTGGGCAAGCACTCTATCACTGAGCTACATCCCAGCCCTTTTTATTTTATTTTGAGACAGGGTCTCATTAATAAGTAGCCCAGTTTGGCCTTGAACTTGAGATCCTCCTGCCTCAGCCTCCTGAGTCACTGGAATTACAGACCTGTACCACTACACTTAGCAGCCAGGTTTTTTGATGCAGCTTGACACACTCATTTTTTTTGTTTTGTTTTGTGTTTATGTATGTGGGTTTTCTTTTTTTGAGAAGAGGATCTCACTATGTTATTCAGGCTGGCCCCAAATTCTTGGGTCAAGCTCAGGAATTGTCCTGACTCAGACTCCCAATCAGCTGGGACTTATGGACACCTGCCACCAAGCCCGGCTTTGATGCCCTGAACGTGCTCCAGGTAAGCACTTGGGTGCCTTGGCATAGACCCTGTTGCCTTCAGCTTTCAAAGCGTGACTGCACTGAGACCTCATCCTGTTTCCATGTGTTGGTGTGTAGCACATCGGTTCTGCTCTCAGGGCAATTTTCTCTTTTTTTGAAAAATGGTAGGCTTGGAAGAGAAAGCCTGAGAGCCCTTTGCATCTCAGCCAGGGGAGTGGAAAGAGCCACATGGGGAACTGCCCCTAGTTCTTATCAGCCTGGAACCCTGAGGCTCAGTTGCCTCTAATGGAGAACAGGGGTGATGATTATGGCTACCCCGAGGGCCAGAGGCGAGTGCTTTGTGTGTGTGTTTGGGGGAGGGGGGTCAGGGAGAAGGATTCTGGGGTGTACCATCCTGCCAGTTGTGTGGCACAACTGTGTAGTGACAGGTAACCCCCAACTGGGGCTGAACTAAAGGCCAAAGAAGAAGCCAGCACTGCAGTGATCCTGTCCTTTTCCCTTTTGTAACTAGGAAATTCCCATCTGCACACTGGTTTGGCCCAGCACCCCTGGAGAGATCTCGTGGGATGTGTCTTTTGTTACTTTGAACTTCCTGGTGCCGGGACTGGTCATTGTGATCAGTTACTCCAAAATCTTACAGGTATGTTTGTTTCCAGTGCTGCCACTGGATTTCACTCAGATTGCAGTGTTTCTGGTAGAGTCTCAGAACTTCCAGGTCAGAAGTCAAACCAGTCCAGTCCTGAGTTCTGATTCACTCACCAGATCTGCCGCCTCAGCCATGTGAGGAAGGAGTTTTTTGTTGTTTGCTTGTTTTTGTTTTTTTTGATTTTGGTTTTGTTTTGCTCATCACTAAAGTAATTCAGGTTCATCATAAAAAAGTCAAATTGAAAACAGGCACAGAAGTATTTAACACAGAAACTGAAAAAAAAAAAAAAAATATATATATATATATATATATATATATATATATAGCCATTCTTAACAACCCAACAAGGTCCTTGCAGGTTAGTTTTTCTTATAAATTTGCACAAAAATCATCCACACTGTGTGTATTTGAAAGTGCGGGTTATCTCCAATAGCTGGCTGTTGTTCTTTTCAGATATGAGCTCACACTATCTGCTCCAGAACTTCCTTTTTTCGCTTAACACCATATCACATCTTTCCTTATCAGTTCCTGTATCTTATCTTATGATGGCTGCATGGCTGCCCAGCATGTCGACATACTATAATTTATCTTATGGACTTTTGGGCTGTGTCCATTGTTTCCCCACCACAAACACAGCAGTGATGAGAATGTACACTTTTTAAGACTTTTTATTGAAGTATAATATACCAATAGAAAAGCACACCCAGCTTACGTGTTCCCCTTACAGACTGAACACACTCATAAAGGCAGCTCCCGGATCCCGAAAGAAAAGGTTGCCAGAAGCCCCTCCTCTTACTTCCGGTCACCTGCCACCTGGGAATGTCCATTTCAAATGTGTATTGACACAGGAAGTGATGTCTGCCCTCAAAGCGAATATGTGCAGGGGTGTGAAAAAGATGGACCCCCTCTGTCCCCACCTCTTAAGGCAGCCCTCTGCATGGCAGGTCCCAGCCCTACAAACCTCACCTACATGTATTTGTGCCCTAGTCCCCTTGGAGGAAATGCAGCCACTGAATCTTAATTTTATAGCATATTACTTAGGAGTCATCTGTTAAATAAATATATTCAAGTGGAAAGACCTGTTTGTTGTCTGGTCAATTTTATAGCCTTTCTTTGTGGCTGAGGCTTTGTAACCTTCTTATGTGCCCAGAACCCAAAGCCAGACCAACCTCCAACCGGGTCTGCTAGTCCCTGGTCCTGTGGGAGTTGGCCCCCTAAGTTACTCCCTAGAATCTTCTCCACCAGATGAATAAAGATTGGGGCTTGTTCAAGTGCATGAGCAGATTCAGGCTTTCCAAGGGCACCTAGCATATTTTAATGTTATAAAATTGTTAGCTACCCTCATTAAGTTAAAAGCAAAGAAGTGAGGGAAGAGTTTTATATTTGCTTAACAAATAGTTATGTAGTGTTTAATGTGTTATCAAGAAATACCTCATTTAATCCTAATAAGCATTACAGATGAGAAAAACCAGGCACAGCGAGGCGAGGTAATTTCCCCAAGGTCACGTAGCTCAGAAGTGAGAGTCTCATAAACCCAAGTACCCTGGCCCTAGATTCCCAACAGTTTTAGTTCCTCAGACATATGTTAAGAGCCTACTCTGTGCAAAGTGCTGGGGAGGAATAGAGGTAGGTCAAGAGTGTAGAAGTTCCATTCTCTAGAAGGAACTTTGAAACAAAAGGGGAAGAGGAGAGACGAGCCAAGGGTGCTGCTATTTAAAGCAAGAAACCCTGGAGCACAAAGTAGAGGCCAAGACAGTGTATAACACTTTGCAAACTGTTGACTGCTGCACCAATGAAAAAGATAGATGAGGAGTATTAAAGAGGAGAGCAAAGGGCCATGAAGACAGTTGCAGAGATTCAAAGGGATATTTTCATAACCTAGCTTTGAGTCTTGAATCTGCCACTTACTTGCTGTGTGACCTTGAGCAAGTTACTTACACTCTCTGAGCCTCAATTCCCTCATCAGCAAAATGGCAATTGTAGTTTCACAGTGAGGTATTGTTGAGGTACCATGGGTAGGACATCTAGTGTCTGCCTGCCCATGGCAGGGGACAAATGAATTGTGTTTGTTGTTATTGTTAGGCAAGGTTGTTCTCCCAAGCTTTGTCTCCAGTGTGCTGGGAAATGGTATCCCTGAGACTTAGCAGAGCTGATTGGGAGGGAGTGGCAGCATCTGGCTCTTCTTCTGAGTCCACTCCCAAGCCCCTCAGCGTTTGGGAGGGCCCTGGTGAGCTCACACTTCTGAGCTTCCCACTGAGAGAGGAATGATCCCCACACCATCATTTTATTCTCAAGGCCAAAGCCCACCTGGAACAATTGGAGGCGACCTGGGAAACTGGGAGAGGTCTCTTCTTCTCCATCTGCCTCCAAGCAACAGTTCACTGCTCTCCAAGTCCTTTGCATCTAGAGCCACAGCCAGCCCTCTGTGCATCACACACCGCAGGGTGGCATCTGTCATGACTCACAGTGGTGCAATGGTGCATTGAGTAATGGGTCAGAGAGAATTTAGATCCAGTCACTTCCCTCACACATGCAGCAAAATCCAAAGCCCTCACCTAAAAGCCCTATGTGATCTGGCCCCTGTCTGTCCCCCTAAGCTCATCTTCTCCCCTCTGTTATGTCCAGACTGGCCTGGGGAGGGTCCCTCACACATGCCAACACACTTATGTCTCAGGCCTTTGCACCTGCCATTTCCTCTCCCGGGTCTCTCTTACCTCAATTGCTGATGGTCCACTTCCCACTTCAGATAGGTCCTTGTTCAAAAGGATCTTCTTCAGAAAAACCACCTATCAATCTCTGATCCTTGGCTTATCTCTTTTCAAAACACTTCCAATCCCTGTCACATTCTGGTTGTGTGAATTCATTTGTGCATCAGTCATCTGTCTCACCCACGGGAGGGCAAGCTTCTCGTCCCTGTGCCTAGACCAGAGCCTGGCTTGTTCAGGGCAGGTGCTCAGGGAATTCTCATGGAGGAGTGAGGCTTAAGCCTTGGATCACACTGAAAGGGTCTACAGGGTGTGATCTTTGGGGGCAGTAGGGAAAGTACAAATAATCATCATACTGGGGTCCTTCAGCAAACTTGATTTAACCATGCGACCTTGGACTATTCTTTTAAAACTCAGAACTCAGTTTCCACTGAAGCCAAACATGTCTCAGTGGATTGTTTAGCACAATAAAATAAAAGAGCAGATATGATGTTTTAAAAATAACAGTGTTAGCCGGGAATGTGGCACACACCTATAATCCCACTGGCTCAGGAGTCTGAGTCAGGAGGATGGCGAATTCAAAGCCAACCTCAGCAACTTAGCAAGGCCCTAAGCAACTCAGTGAGACCCTGTCTCTAAATAAAATACAAAAAGAGCTGGGGTGTGGCTCAGCAGTTAAGCAACCCTGGGTTCAACCTCTGGTACAAAAAAAAAAAAGATAAATAACAAAAATAAATGTTATTGTAAATATAAGACTTTTGAAAAATCTTCCTACCTCACTAGCAAATCTGAACTGCTGCCTGTTTCCCCAGAGGACTGTGACATCTGTCCTCACTTGGTGCCTGTTGAGTTTGCCAGGCTGGTAACTTGGAAGCAGGCAAACTGTCAGTAGGTAAATGCTGTGTGTGGATGGGATTTCCTAGTTTACTTGAAAATAGACACAATGCAGAGATGCTGGATCTGCTTTTCTGCCCAATATATATATATTTGTGTGTGTGTGTGTGTGTGTGTGTGTGTGTGAAGAGCACCTGTCAAATTCATTTGAACAACAGGGTCCATTAGCCATATCCCTTCACCTGTCTTCTTGCCTCTCACTCAGGTCCCATCTCTGGGCTTAGAAGTCACCCTGATCTCTTACTGCTCTGAAGCAGAGCCTCTCAGTGCTCTCTGGAGCTCCATGGGATGAATTTTAGAACGAGTCACAGTCTATGAGTGTGGGAAATACTGGGATCATCAGAGTTCCGTGGGATTCTTTGCTGTAAGGCTTCGGGCAGGCAGGGGCTCTTCGGCACAGGAATAGAGCAGGCAGCATTGCTATATCTGACCACAGAACCCCATTTTACCACAGAGCTTCTCTTTGGATCAGTGCTCCGTAGAAACCTTGTTGGGAAACCTTGTTGTAAACTTTGTCTCTGGTTCTGACCTGGGCAAGGATTCAGGTGGGCTTCTCCTTGGGTCTCCCCCTGTCAGTCATCCTTAAAGATTGTCAGTCACCCTTCAAGAGCTGTTTGATGTAGTGGGGCAGTGGCCATATTTGCTGTCAGCCTTCTCTGCTTCCTCTTTCCTTGTGACTCAAACATGCCATACATTTTTAGTGGCTTTTTCCAATTGACAGTTTTCCCAAGGGAATAGCCTCCCAGCAACTCCTAAGTGCCTTCGATCAGGCTGTGAACACCAGCTGTTTGGGGCTTGGTTTACATCATCTCCCAGCAACCATGGCCGTGCTACCCTTTGGAACTGTGTTTCTTTATTGTCCCTCACCCCCCCACACACACGCATTACCCACATTACACTGGAATGGACCTGCGCCACAACCAGCCTCTGTAGCCCAGCCACATAGTAGGCGCTCAAACATTTGTTGATAGAACCAATGATTCTTTTGCTTGAAATTTGAAAACCCTCAGCCTATCTCAGAGTTTCACCGAGAAAGAATGTGTTTCAGGTGAACATGAAGGTTTCAGGCAGTGAACATGAAGCCCTTCCTCCATACCTGGCCTTTGTTCCCCAGCTTTGGGGACTGTGTGCTGCTATGGAAAGGGAGGTGGACCTACTGGAAAGACAGAGTCTTCCCTCTGAGGATTCTGTTGATTGACTAGGCAGCCTCCAAAGGTTACCCCACCTCCCAGGGTCAACCTCTGTCAGCAGGAATCTCCTCCACCTGCAACCACCTGGGCAGCAACCTTGGTCTGGTGGCCATGTGTGACAAAGGGGCATGAGATGGAAAGAAAGTTCCCTCATAGTTTTCCAAAGCTCATGTGGGTGTAAAGGCAGGGAGACTCAATAAGACAGTTTTAAAAGGGACTCTCTTAGTCTGGCATAGTGGCACACACCTGGAATCCCAGCAGCTCAGGAGGCTGAAGCAGGAGGATCTTGAGTTCAAAGCCAGCCTCAGCAAAAGCGAGATGCTAAGCAACTCAGTGAGACCCTGTCTCTAAATAAAATACAAAATAGGACTGGGAATGTGACTTAGTGGCCAAGTGCCCCTGAGTTTAATCCCTGGTACCAAAAAAAAAAAAAAGGAGTTTAGGAAAAATGCAGATCTCTGGGTCCCCTCAGCCCCACAGAATCAGAATGTCTGAAGGCGAATAAACATTTGCCTCTTATCATGGGCCCAGTGGTGTGAGCCACATTACTGGGAGCATCTCTGCGTGGGCTATACCCCACCTCTTCACCACGAGGCTTGGGTAGGTCACTTCACCTCTCAGAGCCTCCACCTTAGGAGGTGACCCCAGAACCTATGCAGAGGCTTGTTTTGAGGATTAGAGTTAATTCTCAGGAGTTAATTGAGTGTTTAGTTTAATGTAGAAGCTCATCAAGCGTCTACCCAATGCCAGAGACTGAAATGCTAGATAAATGTTGACTTAGCCTAGACACCTAGCACAGGAAGGTGCAGGGAAGGAGCACATTTGACTATGAAGCCCCTGACTCTGCAAGCTGTGGGGACTATGAGGGAGCAGCATCTACCAGTTCTGACCAAAGAAACGAGGTAATGCTCCTGGCCCCAAAGTGAGTCAGCCCACTTTGACCATCACGTCATCGTCAGGCATCGGCCAGAGCCCCTGGCCCCAGACGGAACAGGGAGCCCTGTCTAAGGTCCTAAGCTCTGGGGAGCCCATGTCTGGTGAGGGCGGAGGTAAGAAAGATGCTCATGTGTCTACCACAGGGTTCCTGTGGCAGGCGCTGAGAGTACCCGAAACACGCCGCAGGGTGCAGCAGGAGGTGAGCCAACAAAGCTTCTAGGAGTTTCTGGCATTCGAGCTTGGAATTAAAGTCTGGGCAGAAGGATTTCCATTGATGGGAAGTAGAGAGTGGGAAGGAACTAGTTTAAGATCAGGAGCTCAGGCTGGAGCCAACAACCAAGTTTGAAGCTCAACTCTGCACTTCTTGGTTGGGCGTTCACCAACCTCTTTGATCTTCAGCTTCCTCATCTGCAAAATGGGAATCAGCAAGTACCTACCTCACAGAATGCTGGGAGAGGTTAGAGAGGCAAACCACGTGATGGGTAAGGACCTGGCACATAGTAGGTGCTCAGTAAAAGTGAGCTCCCACCAACCTTATTGATTCAGAAAATATTTATGAGACACTGTACCAGAGTCTCTGGATGCACGCTGTTCTTGACAGGCTAAGGTGGGCAACAGGAGGGATGACACTGCTGTTGGAATCAGCCCTTGAGCACTCACCAGGGACACCCCGATTTAGAGGTTATACATTTTCCCTGCTGCCTGCTCGGCTTTCCACTTCCACACCTGTTGGCCCTTAGATCACCCATCTTGCACCTGGATGCTCGGTCTAACTTTGTCTCTACACAGTGACTTCCGGACGTGGAGGGGCCAATAGGACTTGCAGCACTGGAGTGCGAGTCGGTGGGTTCCCTCTGCTGAGTGACTCCACCTGCAGAGCAGGGGCGTGGAGGGAAGGGCTGGCTACACAACCCCTCCTGAGCCTTTTATGATGTAGCTAATCATTAACTCCACTGAGCTGGATTTTCACAGATGGGAGCTGTCACCATTTATTATCTGTGGAGTGACCTTCAACAAGTAACTTAAATTTCCCGAGAATGAATTTGCTCATCTGTGAAGCAGGAATAACAATGGCACAGAATGCAAAGAGGAGCTGTGAGGATTAGAGGTGACAGTGGATGGAACATGTGGGGAGCCCTTGGGAAAGCTAATTCCTGTTGTCCTGGTTGTCGGGAGCTTCCAGAGGGAAGAGGTCTGTCCACCTTGCACCTGCTGCTCTCATCCCCCATCACCAACAGGTGCCCTGAACTGCCACGCTGGGCCAGCAAGCAACCACAGAGAATCACGAAACAATTAAACAGCTCTCCTTTAATTAGACAATTAGAAGGATTCTAGGGAGAACAGTTTAAGCCACGCTGATCTTGGAATTAAACTTGCCCAAATTAAGAAGGTGGCTAATTACCTTCTAATTACTTCTTCTCTTGAGATTCAGGAATCATAGGGGAATGGGCCCAGGGGTCCAGCACAGAGCCCACGATGTGGCCAGTTTCCAGATGATGTAAGCATCCCTGTGTGGCCAGAAGCCTCTTCCTGTAGGAAAGGCAGGACAAAGGCCGGCCCAAGCAAGTGGAAGTTAGCAAGGACGGCTATTGTGGTCAGGATGGTCCTCATTGGTTCTCTTCTCTGGGGCAGAGATCATAGGCTGGCATTTCAGGCTCAAAAAATCAGCATCTGTTCCAGCCCAGGCTGGCTGTTCGCAGCCAGGCCCCACCCTACCATCACTAGCCCTACCCTACCCCACTCGCTGGCATCATGGAACCTGAGTAAGTCACAGGGAACAGCCAGATCTTCTCCCTTCTGGCTGTGCCCAGAGGATGCTTGGAATTATGCACAAGAGAGATTAAACACTCCTTCTCTCCTGGACATTCAGAGCCTGAGTACTGGACATTTTCCCGCCACCCCAGTGGTCACTCACCCAGCCACCCACCACCCTGTGCCAAGGAGCAGGGCTTAAATGGCAGCACCTGCTCTCTCACAGACTCAACCCTTATTGCAAAACTCCTGCTTTGAAAGCAGCTTGGGTAAACTATCTCTTAGGGAGCTGTTTTCTAACCTGTGCATGGAAGGGGCAACAGAGGCCCTGGCTACTCAAAGCAGGGTCTTTGGATGGGAAGCATGGGGGGGCTGCTGTTCCGCAAGAGCTTGCTGGAAATGCAGAATCTCAGCTGGACCCAGACCTTCTTAAGAAGAATCTATATTAAAATAAAGGAGGCCACACTGAGTGCCACTCCAGCTCTGTGGTTCCAAGATGTCACGAAGCTTTCATGTGGTTCAGATACAGTGTTTTGAGGTGGGGCAGTGGGATGGGGGTGCATGCGGGGCTTTACTCTATTCAGTCTACATCAGTCGATGGGCCATTCTTGTGTCCAAGGATCCTGCTGCCAAATTAAAGCCTCTCTGTGGCTGAAGGAAGACCCTCTAGCTGAATAGACTGGACAGGAGATCCAGGGCACGATGCCTGCAGGATCCCCGCAACCAGGGTCCCCTTCATCATCCACAGTGCCTCTGCTGTCATGCTGGCCTTGCTCATCAGTGCAAAATGTTAGAGGTCCCAGAAATCCCACTGGGAGGAATTTATTCCATGGATACTCTCATATAGATGTGCAAAGATGTACCTGAGGGTGTTTATTCTCCTGATCCCCACCCCTCGGTGGGATATACTTTATCAAATGGCTGTGATTTTTCAACAAATGTCACCAGAAATGCTCTGACAAGCTTCTCTTTCTTGCTGGGGACAGACACATTTAATGACACATCTGATTCCATAACTTTCCAATTGCTTTTTGACTGTGCCTGTTTATCTTACTTATTTTTTTAAATTAAAAGCTTTTTAAGATTTGTTCTTTTTTAGTGATACATGACAGTAGAGTGTATTTTTCATGTCGTACATACATGGAGTATAACTTCCCATTCTTGTGGTTGTATATGATGTGGAGTTTCACTGGTTGTGTATTCACATAGTTTCACTGGTTGTGTATAGGAACATAGGAGAGTTGTGTCTGATTCATTCTACTGTCTTTCCCATTCCCATCCCTGTACCTACTTATTTAAAAACATCAATTTCATAGTCATTCCAATGCTTCTGGTGCCTGCAGTGGGGGATGGGCTTGTGTGAGGGCTGGGAGTGGAATGGAGAAGGACAGGCTGTCCTGCCCGTGCCCCTGACTGCCCTTAAAGACAAGGAACTCACAATTGCCCGTGTGAGGAGTTTGTCCCCTTCTGTTGGTAATTGACTCTGATTTCCACGTGGCTGTGGGGGTGCCCACAGGTCCTGCTGATGAAGGGATCATTCCCAAGCAGCACCCACCCCATAGGTGTTAGTGGCTCTTCCCAGACTTGGTTTCATTTTGGGGCTGACCCTGGCAGCAGCTGTCCAAGCAAATGAACAGCCTCCAAACTCATTTACCTTTTAAAGGCCCCAACTCAGGCCTGTAGGCAAGACCAGAATCCACTTTTTTTTTTTTTTTTTTGAGATAGGGTCTCATACATTCCATCCCTGGGAAGGCATGTAGAGCTGGTATGTAGACCTTCCAGAAGGTCATGCAGGAGACCACCTCCTCTGGTCACCCCTGGGCAATGGAAATGGAGGGTACAAAGGCTAGAGAAGAGACCTGGTATTTTTCATTTGCTCCCCTTCAGTGTTTGTAGTTTGAGTTTGTGCCTTGGGCATGTATTGCTTGTGCACAATTATTTACCTTTTAAAAAGCCACAGTCACAGCCAAGGTGTGCTTCTGAGCACCTTGCTCCTCTAGACCACCCGAGTCAGGCTCTTCACTTCCCCTCATCCATTCTCTTTATATCGTGGGTGATTTTCTGCCTTATTCCTGGGGCAACAAGCCAGGTGTCCATTTCTCCAGTGCGTCCTCGGTGTGGGCAGCAGGCCAGCTGCAGAGGAGGCAGCTCCTTCCACACAGAGTTCCAAAGACAGACACCCCAATGCAGCGGGATGGCACTTTCCAGTTTCTGAGCTCCTAACCCCCAAAATCTCTGACATTCATCATAAATTGTGGCTCTGTTTCTGTTTGGGTTTCCTGCAGATCACAAAGGCATCGCGGAAGAGGCTCACCATGAGCCTGGCGTACTCGGAGAGCCACCAGATCCGAGTGTCACAGCAGGACTTCCGGCTCTTCCGCACCCTCTTCCTGCTCATGGTGTCCTTCTTCATCATGTGGAGCCCCATCATCATCACCATCCTCCTCATCTTGATCCAGAACTTCCAGCAAGACCTGGTCATCTGGCCATCCCTCTTCTTCTGGGTGGTGGCCTTCACATTTGCCAATTCTGCCCTGAACCCCATTCTCTACAACATGTCACTGTTTAGGAATGAATGGAGGAAAATTTTTTGCTGCTTCTCCCTCCCAGAAAAAGGAGCCATTTTTACAGACACATCTGTCAGAAGAAATGATTTGTCTGTTATTTCCAGCTGATTCGTTTTTCTCGACACATGAAGTCTCTCCCTGTGGTGAGCCACGGTGTGCTTTAATCATCCACCAGTGCACCCTACTTTGCGGAAACAACCTATGCAAACATACATCTGCAGCAGCAGCAAATTAAGGGACGATCATTCCGTGTAAACATACTTTTCCTTTATAAGAGGACTCACGATTGGGTTCCTTTGAAATATGAACTTTTTCAGTGTGTTTGTAATATGATTGAAATTAATAAATTTTTATTTATACCTGTTCAGCAATTACATCTCCTACATATAAGGTCACACCTCATGGTTTCTAAAGTGAGTCTTGGAACTGATTGAGGACTCAGATTCTCCTTTAAAGGGTCAGGGCCACTCTGGATACCCAACTTGGGCTCCTTAGGAAAGACCTCAGGGTCTTTCATTCATATCAACCCTGAATTTGGTGTTTGGTATTTGGTATTTGATATTGACGAATTTCCAAGGAATAATTAACGGTGATTATTATTTTTCATGTATTAAAAATGCTATGGACCCCTTGAGGAGAAGCAGTGTCATGGAATCAGAGAGAAGATGGGTTGGCTTCAGAAGGACACTGAGATCTGGAGTGAGTCCCCTCATTGATCCACCCATCAGAGGCCTCTTAAGCATTACTATGGCTGGACAGTGTTCTTGAGCTGGGAATTCAGTGATGAACCAGATGGCCCTGGCCTCTGCTCTCAGAGAGCTTCTTCCCCTACGGAGTACAAATGCTAAACAGAAGTGAATAAATATAGTATCCCAGAGTGAACAGCACCTGGGGAAGACGGGACAGGGTGCTGTGGGAGTGATGGCCACTTAGATGTGGTGGGGAAAGGTGACTGGCAAGAAAGAGTGTGCCACGAGGCTCCAGGGGAAGGGGCTTTTCAGGCAGAAGAGACAGACATCGGTACAAAGAGACTGACTTGTGGGACAGGAAGAAGAGAGGACTGAGTCAAGCAATGAACTGTTGGCTGAGCCTCCTCTGTACCAGACACTGTCCTTGATGTTGGGATGGAAGGATGCCCTGCTAGAGCCCATCAATGGATGTCAGAGGGTCCAGGTCTAGGTCAGGGAGGGTTTGAGAGACTACCCTAAGGAGCTGATTCAGTGTTCAGTAGGCACCACTGGGGTTTGCAAAGGGAGACTGACATGAGCTGATGAATGAGTGAAAATATCGTTCTGGTTGCTATGCAAGGGTCCGACTTTGAGGAGCAGGAATGAAAATGGAGAGCAATTAGGCAGCTGCTGGGGATCTGGAGGTGGGTGTCATTCCTGATGGATTATGAGAACTGATCTTGGATATTCTTAGAGAGGGTGGCACAAAGACAATTTATTGATGGAAAGCCTGTAGAATGTGAGAGAAAGAGAGGATTCCAGGGCGACTCCTAGATTTTTAGCCTGAACTGGTCGGACGGTGGAGCAGGCACCAATGGAGAAGACTGGGAGAAAAATGGGGTGAGAGAGCCAAGTTTCAGTGGTAGCCTATAAATTTGAAACCTGGGGGCTGGGGCTGTAGCTCAGTGGCAGAGCACTTGCCTAGCATGTGTGAGGCACTGGGTTTGATCCTCAGCACGGCATAAGAAATAAATAAAATGAATAAAAGCATTCTGTTCATCTACAACTATAGAAAAAATTTAAAAGAAAATTGAAACCTAGGGGTATCCAAAAACAATAGGCAGTGTATATAGAGCTGTGGGGCTGGGGCTTGGAGGTACAGTGTTGTTGGGAGATGCAGATGGTGCTTGGAGACCTACAGTTTTATGAAACACCCTGAGAGAAAATGGGGAAAGGGGAGAAATCAGAGTCAAAGCCAGCCCAGTGACAAACAGGCCCTTGGGGGCTGGGCCAATGTCTGGGTAGACACAGGGCCACCACCGAGTCGATAGATGCTCAGTAAAGCTTTGTTCCAAGGCCAATCAAACCCAGGGTTGTTGCCATCACTCATGGAGTTTCTGGAGTAGCTTGCTTCTGACGTGAAGATTTATGGCGACCTTAAGCTCATGGACAAACGGACAAGGAGTCTTTGCCCATCTTTAGTTAGTGGGGGCTGGGGAGATAGCTCAGTGGTAAAGCATTTGCTTAGCATGCATGTGGCCCTGGGTTCAATCCCCATCACCACATACAAAAAAAAAAAAAAAAGATTTAGTTAGTAGACCTGGTAATTTTAAGCTCTTTTGGGAAGGAATACCTGGATATCTTATAGATTTCTGGGGCTGTCAAACTGAGGCTGAGACCCCAGGCTGTGACAGCCTGCTGTTCCCAGAGAATGAAAAGCAGAGCTTTCCCATGTGTGGTCCACAGTCTCCTCTGTCTTTGGTGGCAAATAAGGCAAATGGAAGTGGGGGACACAGAAGCCTCCCTAGTCCCTAGAAAGTGCCAGCACCACCCCCCCACCTTCCAATGAATTTCACACATGCAGCCTGGCATGGCCAGGATCTGCACAGCCCCTCAGAGCTCTAACAGACATCGCCTCATTGAACACCCTGTGTCCCATCAGGCAGAGCCTGTTTCCCCATATTTCAAGAGAGATGTAGGCTCAGAGAAGCCAGGTAACCAGCCCCCAAACACACAGCTAAAAATCTAAGTTGGAGTTTAACTTAAAACCAAGATTATCTAGCACAAAAGACTAGCTGTTTTTTGAAGATGAGAAACTGAGACCCATGGGAACCTGCGGGAAACTGAGGCAAGTAGGTTTGTATGCAAACTCAAGTGCTGCTAACAGTGTAGGACACTAGTATTCTGCCCCAGTCCTGACTGCTTCTGCAGGTGGAGGATATTGTGAACTTTCCTACCGACCTGGCTTTCAGAGCCCATCTTCCATATCCTCTTCCTCCCCACCTTCTGAAAACCCTGAGACTGCCTCCTTCCATGTGTTGACCACACATGAAACAAGTGAATCACCTGCCAGATGCAACGGAGAGTGGAGCTGTTTCCTGGAACTCACCCCATCCATGCATCCAGGCCTCCCAAACCCAGTTGGTTGGCCAGTCTCAGAGGCCCAGCACTGCCTGAGCTTGCTGGCCTTGTCTGGCCACACTCACTTCCTCTTTGGGCCTCAGGGCCTTGGCCAGGATGGTAGTTAAGGCCTTCCTGGGTTAATGAGGAAACCCCCTTTTCAGGAAGTGGGAGAAGCTGCGGTCTTTAATAATGGAGGTTAGATGCTAGAATTAGTCAAAGGTCCCGCAGAGAGCACAAAGGGAGAATGCCCTGTTGGTATATAAGAGTGCACCCCACCTGCAATCTGTGAATACAAAGAAAACTCAAATCATAGGAAGCTGATAGCTATATTTTAATAAATCAAAGTTTGGAATTCCAAGTCTCAGGAAACTTCCATAAGATCCACAGTGATGCAGATTCACTCATTCCTATGTGGATTTTGATGTGTACTGATGTTTTATGTTCACCTAGGGAAGGCAAGGGGATGCGAGGGGCAGTTGGGGTCGGGGGAGTGGAGACAAACTAAACTCCTAAGATAAATAGAGGTGAAGATTGAAAGTTAATCAGAAATCTTCAAATGAAACTTTTATGTCCTTGATGTTGCTACAAAAGGTATTCTCCTGCTTTGCTTTGGCAGTAACCTGAAATGCAGAAAACAAAGCCATTAATAATAACAGAAAGACGGACCAGGTGTTTCTGTAAATAATGAACACCATGGTAGCCTTGGAGCTCGGCTCCATTCATGTGATTCTTCATTCGAATGCACCACAGCAGATGGAAACCCTCAAAGTCAGATGCAGCTGCAATTCATAAACACTCTCCAGGCTGTTTCTGAACCACTTTGAAGTCTCCAGGGTCAGGGGGCGGAGAGCACAGGACCTACTGCATGAAACAGTGCTTCCCTTTGTTTCTGACAAATGTGTCTCATTGCATTCTGGGGGGGGGGTGCAGGGAGCTCCTCTTATTTAAGGACATGAGGGCCAAGTCAACCTGATCTCAGTCTTACTGCTGGTAGTTCCATAGTGTTCACCATGTCCCATGTCCTGTGTCACAGGTGGTGCCAACAAGGGACATCTGGGTTTGCATTCAACTCAGCTACCTATTGGAGATCTTGGGCAATGTTCATGATCTTTCTTAGCCTCCATTTTCTCATCTCAGAATGTGGATAATGAGTGCGAACGTTCCTGAGGATTAATGGAGGTGACGGCAGGTGAAGGGCTCTGGGCTGTGCCTGTCAGGAATGCTTTACCAGCCCTGCATGTGGCTGCCCTGCAGGGTGAGGCTCCCATGCCTATTTATGTGTTTGGTCTGTTTTGTCTTTTTGGTGTAATGGGTCAGTTACACCAAACAGAAACGTTCAGTTTCACTCCCTTTTTCTACACTTTAGGGTGACCCTATCTGGATTCTGAAACCAAAGAAGTGAGTGTCGATTCAAAATAGACAGCACGTTTTTTTTTCCACTCTAGTTTTTAAGTAAGTCCAGATCAGACAAGGGTAATATCTATAAAAAGATCCTGTGGTTGTTCCAGGGGATCCCCATAAAACCGAAGTGAGGAAACCCAGCTAATCAATATAATGATTATTTGGTTTCATAGAGAATAAAGAACATTTGTTGACATCATTCTTGTCTGCATTTGCTATGTTGATGTCTCTGTTTACATTTTTACATTGATGGCCATGTTCACTGCCCAGTTCTCTAGCAGGGACACTTAATCCCCCCAAATATTCATTCAATCAGAATGGTTTTTCTGGGCAGAGGAGCCAGGAGTGAAATGGCTTGAGATAGCAGAATAAAAAGGAAGTGTTTTACTTAATTAAAAGTGCCAGGGTTTTGGAAAAAAGCCTCTGATAACCTTCCCAGGAATAAGGCCAAGAAAAGATCTGATCAAGCAGGACCAAAAGGGGCCCAAAGGGGCACCAGACTCCAGCTTTCTCTTCATAAACAGACACAAGGCATTCATTCTCTGGCTGGAACCTGTTTCCCTGAGCCCTGGGGAAAGGCCACTCACCGTTGTGCTCAATCCACCGGTACTGCCGGTCCAGGCACAGCTCCTCCTGCCGCTGCCTCACCAGCCTCCGAATCTCAGGGGTCAGGCCATTGGGATCACGTGCAAACACAAAAGAGTAGCTGTCTGCACAGGTGCCATCAAAGTTGAGGAGGCGGCAGGAGTACTGCAGGGCGAACGTGTGGTAGTCCGTGTCAATGATCCAGTGGTCATCAACTGCAAGCCAGAAAGTCAGTGTTAAGTGACACCTTGCCTTCAGTGGAAAGAAGTCCTGGAAACTCACTACCTGGACCCTACTGCATTTTCTTAGGAAGC